AAGCCTAACCTTATTGTTGCCATATTGTACAAAGCAATAAATACTGAATATATTAAGCAAAGAAGCTGCATGTTTCACATCCATGTTAAGAATTGTCTTTCTTTGGCAAAAAGTTTATTTTATAATAGTAAAAAAAAATCTATGTACAGTAGGTTAAGTATGCCTTATCATTTTGAGAATTTGGTTTGACTAAACCCTAGACTGGATGTGTAAAAAGTATTTTTGAGATACTCAAGACAAAACCAGATCTATATATTTATATCAGATATTTTTACTGTTCTAATTTTTTATTTCTTTTTGTTTTTCTTCCCATATTGTGCTTCCATAGACTGTTCACTACTTATTTCACAAAGTTGTATCAATCAGCAGTGTGTGAATTTGTTGTTTTAATTCTAGTTGTTGCTTTGTTATTTTTCAGGCCGAGCCATTGTTTGTCATTTTGTCCTTATAATCCATCTATCTAACTGAACCTCGGCTAAGCGGTGGGCCTGGTCAGAACGAATGCTCAGCTTTGTACATGCTGCAGCTGAGCTGGTGGCTGTGATGTGTTGTTTACCTGCAGCCTGTGTTCCTGCTGTTGCTGCTGTATTATTGAGTGTGATGTCTGGTCTGTGGCTGTGGCTGCTCTAATAGGATTACCTGTTTATCCCTCTCTTACCTGCTCTCTCCATCCATCCAGTCTATTTTTATATGCTCATCTACGTGAACCTCTAATCTCGGTGCGGGGGCGTACGGTCGCTGCCTTACCAAGTTAATTAGGTTGCCCATTCATTTCATCATCACAGACCTCAAGCTTTAAGGATAAAGCTACAAGTATTTACATTTTTAAGGCTGTGGTTATTTTCCACAGATCCCATACAGACACTAAAACCCACAATGAATTGAATGTAGTCACCATACCGTCTGGGAATCCAGACCGTGGTTCAGATCATTTCCTTATGGTGTAAACCTCTATTGTTATCCAGAAACACAACAGTGAGCCACTGGGTGACATGTTTCTTTGCTCAGTGCTATTTAACCATTTTTTAAGCCACTTTGGTTTCACTCTTAAATGTTCACAGAAGATTTAGTTCAAGCAAGGACACACGAAAGTGCAGACCCACTCACTGCTAAGCACGGTGCACCTGTATGGTCTTCTTCCATTCTGTGGAGATAAACTGCAAAGACAATGACCCAGAGCTCATTGGACAGATACAATGTGGGTCTGAAAAACAGCATCATGCACTGAGTTTTTACAAGGCCAAATAAGCTGTTTGGTTTTTCCTGTGTGAATAATCCTTTCAGGGATTTAGTCTTCCCACCATATCAGGCAAAAGCTTGCAGTCACGACTCTCTGGACTGTCAAACTAAGCCTAATCGATACACTCGTCCTCTTTTTTTCTGACTTCCAATCCCAGATTTTTTTCTAGTTTACAAACACAAGACAGCGCTGTAATTTTTGGTTTTGTTGAGGTATGTTGGTCTGTTCTTTATCCCAGTGGATAATTGATCAAATGAAGACTCCTTTTGCTGCTATGAGTTCCAATCTCCATGACCCTAATAAGAAAGTAAAGGTAGATGATCTGTAATCTAATCTTATATTGGCGAACAAACGGTAAATAACCAAGTGTGTTGTTAAAAAAATGAAGCTTGGAGTACACCGATAAAATGGACTGCATCGTGCTTAGAGGGTCAACGCTCACTCTTGTTGCATGCACATTTGCCATTGCAGTTTATTTGAATAGAAGCATAATTTCCTAGGAGACTAACTTTATCTTTTCACAAATGCTCCTCCTTTTATAGCCAACAAGAAAACCTCAAATAACTTATTTGAAATAAATATTTTGTTTGTCCTGTTTCACCCCCTTCTCCCTCAGAATCAGCACCCAAAGCTTTTGGCATCTCCCTCTCCCAAGTCATCGCCAACGACCGGACCTACAAGCGGCTGCAGGACGCCCTGAAGGAGAGCAGGCGTGACTGTCTGGACCTGGAGGCCAGCATCCTGCACTTCCGGGCTGAGAAGCGGCAGTTCTTCATTGGGAACAAGCCGTTGGTCATCTCCTCATCTATCACAAGAGCAGATCCAAGCCTGCCGTCTGCAAACTCGGTGGCACCAGCGCCCATTTGCGAGCCCCAGAACAAACCACTGTCGCCCACATTTCTAGATAACACTGGCCGAGGACAGAGAAGGGTGAGAGAGCTCTGAGTGAATACAAACATACTGCACACACAGAAGTATTATCAGCTCCAGAGGTCATTTAACTTAACCAGGCATGGGAATTTGGCAGATTTTCCTGAAAATCCAGACTTTTTAGGGTCCCGGTAAAGTGGAAACTGGCAGGTCAGGTGATTCTGCGAGGTTTAGTGTCATCTAGGGTGACAACAGCTCATTTACATGCTGCTAACTAAACTAATTCTATTCATTTCCAGAGTTGTATACATATACAGAAGTTGCTGTGTGTACTAAACTGTACCGCGTGTGAACCTTCTCTGCGTTAGGCCGTCACACCCTGTCATTCTTTCCACACCAACCTGGAAACAGTTGTTAGGTTAAGCCTGTAATGAGTATGATCACAGCCACCAAGCATGGTAATTGTCCCTGAAGCAGCCATCAAGTAGCAGCTGATAGGAATCAGTCACTGAGGTAAATACTGCGCACACAGTCCTGGAAACATGAATATCTGGTAAAAGATGGACAAAAATATTGATTTCATATTGCACTGATGGGATGCACCTAATTATGAGTTTGTTTGTTTTTTGGTGGTTTTTTTTTTTGATTAACCCACTGCTGCTCACAACTTCTCTGCACCTGTTTTGGCTGACCAGAATATTTAATATTTAAATACCACAAGGGCACCTAGGTGGTTTTCAAAATCCTGCTTTTGTCCCCCTCAATAAAAGCAAAATCTAGATATTGTATTTTAAATATTACTTTGTATAATGAATTCCAGTATAATTTATTTGCAAGATTGAAAAAGCTGATTTAAAAGAAAACTTAATTTATTTAGAAAACACCTTATTTACAGGGCTGTAGACTCAATTTATTTCCAGTTTTCAGGCTGTGGACTCCAGTGTATTTCCAAATAATTTGCCAAATGTTTCTTGGAAGGAGCCATGTAATCTGCTGCTAATTTTGGTTAAAAATGAGAGACATCAGTTGACACTTCCAGCTATTTTTAAATGCTAAGCTAAATTGATGCTATTGATGTTTCCTAACAGTGATCTCTAGCTGTGGGAGCAGAACTGGTTGATTGTTAGAAAGATGGTTTTCTCATGTGTCTCGAGAGAAATGCTCTGACTCGCCTTCTTAACAGCTGTCTGGACTGCAGCAGCTCACCGTTTACACATCTGATGACACACAGACACACACACACACGGCTGGAGATCTTCAGTGTGACGGGTGATGCAGCAGCGGTGCGGTGGCGTCATGTTCCGGGCAGTGACAGTTATTGTACATGGTAGGACTAAATGTTCACACTAATGGTTGGAACAGGATGAATAGTGGAGGAGAAGGATTTTGACAGAGAGAAGGGCCTGTGAGGATTTATAGGTTTGTGTTTTCAGTGAACTCGGATCAGAGCAGCACCTCCCATGCTCGGGCTAGTAAAGGGTATTTATGGAGAGCTTTCAGGTTACCTGAACTGTGTCCAAATTCCACAGGTTTTGTGTATGTAATATATTCACACTTACTAGTTTCATTTTGTTGCCCAGTCAGACTTCCATCTTATCAAGAAAGCCATGCAGGTTTCCTAAATACATGACTTTAGAGGCTTATAAGAGGTAAACAGTTGTACACTACCACAGAATATGCACATTACACACTTCAGTTTGAGTAACTGTCCTGTACTTTCTGAACGTCGGTACTGTTGAAAATTCCTCCGACACTTGAAATTCCTCCAGAAACTGTTCACGGGTCATAGACGAGTGATTTACATTTCTGTAGTGTTTGTTTTCAGTCCTCGAAAACGTCAGGATGAGTGATAAAAGCTTCTCTGCTGTCAGAGCCCCTCTTTATGTCCTTTGTGTCTTTCAGACCTGTTTGTTTGATGCCATCTAACGTTTCTGCCTTGATCTCTTTCACTGTGCGGTTATATTTCAGCATTGTGCCATGTCCTTGTCCGTCAACGTTGCCTTAATAAATCACCCTCACCTTCAAGTGGTGCCACAGATCAGACAAATGTTTAATATCCAACCACCACCACTTTCCCCTGTTGTTACTGAGCCAGAGAAAATATCTGTACTGCATTTTATTCAAATGTGGAACACACTTACTCAAGCTGCCAGGCAGCATTTTGACATCATTTATAGACAAACAAAAGAAATTGAAAGTAAATTGGTGTTTACAGCTGGTGTTTTGATGGGCTACTGTAGAAACTAATGTAAGAATTTGTCATTTTATTCTACATCCCATGGGGAAAGTACTGTGTCTGAAGCGTTTGGTGTACTTTCCTTGGTGATTACTACTGTCATGTTCTCACTCTTAACACTAAGAAACACCTCAAGTGCTGAGTCCAACTGACAAGAGATTCCTTAAGTTGGTACCAATTGAAAGTTGACAAATTTGACAATTTTTAACAAACATATAACACATAGAAATGATTTTGATAAGATCCCTTAAATTTGAGCCTTGAAAAATAAATGATAGTGCCCCCTACTGGGCAAACTAGGTAATAGTGATTATTCTACATGACCTTATACTAAGTTTAGAATTTCTGTACTGCGTTTTTTTTTTTTAGGTACTGGTCAATGTACAGCCATTATAAATGCTGGCCATTAGCTTGTATATATCCACAGACAAAGTGTGTTTTACATTTTTTGATTTGTAGTAAATGTTGAATGTGGGTAATGTGGGAAAAAAATGTTCCCAAGTAGTTTTACCATCTAAAAAACAGTATTTCCCCTGCAGCACAAAGCTTTAACTTTATTATACAGAAGGATAAGTAGTAAGTACTTTAATCCAAGGTACTTTGCAGTATAAGGATCCAAAACAATCAAGTACAGCCTGTTACATCAGTCCTCTCTCCCCCCTGCAGGGTGGTTTGTCAGTCGACTGCATCTCCGACCTCGTGGAGAGTCAGTCTCGTCTGCTGGAGGCGCTGCAGCTCTCCCACCCAGCTGAGCTGGAGATAAAGAAGTCACCAGGCGGCAACTCATCTGAGGGCAGGACTCAAACCAAGCTCAGCCTCAATCCCATCTACAGACAGGTGCCCCGGGTGCTGGAGAGGTGCTGCAGCCACATCGAGAGCCACGGTGAGCCGCGGCTTCGGTTTCACTGGTGCCATTTGGAATCGCCCAGTTTTTAGAGAAGCACTAGAAGCTGTACATTAGGCAGTCCAGGTTAAAGTTGTACTTTAGTGTGTACCGTGTCAGTTTTCAGACTGAACTCTTAGTGTTCCTGCAGGTTCCGCTTGATGCTGTTGAGATTATATGATGTATAAATTTGTGTCCCCAGGTCTTCAGACTGTCGGCATTTTTCGCGTCGGGAGCTCTAAGAAAAGAGTGAGACAGGTGAGGAGGCCTTCTCTTCACACACAAAACCTTTTATTTGATTTATTTCAACCATTAAAAAATGTACAACTGTCCCATACTGTGCTGCTTGTACAGAGACACCAGCGGGTCTTTTCCTCCAGTAATAAACTCTGGGAGTTCAGTGTGCGTTGTCCCCTGATTCACTGTCCTGTGTTTCCTGTTAGTCTCCACTGAGTGCTGGAATATAAAAATAACCTTCAAGAGAAAAGCTGATGATGTGTGATATCCTGTTTTTTTACAATAAATCTTGTCCATCTGGGGAACGTGCCCTTTATTTGACTTCAGCATGTGTTTACGTATCTTATCTGTGAATGTATGTGAGTTTGGGGTTTCCTATGTGACTGTATCGTCTGTTTCCATGTGTGTTTGTGCTCGTCAGCTGCGGGAGGACTTTGACATGGGGGTGGACGTCCAGCTGGATGAGGAGCACAGTGTCCATGACGTGGCAGCGCTGCTCAAAGAGTTTCTGAGGGACATGCCGGATCCTCTGCTGCCCAGAGAGCTCTACCCTGCCTTCCTGCATGCCAACTGTAAGCCAACACAAACACACACCACAGTGTCATCAAGTTGTCCGGACAGCTGAACAGTGTGATAGGTGACACAGCAATACCTGTACAAATCAAATTCTCTGTGCTTTCTGCAGTGCTGAGAGGAGCGGACCAGCTTCAGTACCTGCAGCACCTCCTCTACCTGCTCCCTCCCTGTAACTGTGACACCCTGCTGCGACTCCTCACCCTGCTACACACCGTGCAGGGCTTCGCCCAAGACAGCGTAGGGACCAATGATGAGGAGGTATGCCACTGTACAGTTTTAAAGGTACTCTAGCTAATTCCTTTTCAGCTGCTGAAGGGTCTGGCGAGACTCAAAACAAACCATAAACCACTTTGGTTACTGCTCATGTGACACATCAGTCAAGTCAAGATTTTGATTTGCCATTTATGCATAAACAGACAGTCTAGGCATATAGGAATTCTTGTGCGGGGATCTCCTGGAGTCAGGTAAGGAGTCAAAAACCAGAAAGAACACTTAGTCTTAACACACCCAGAAGTCACAATTAACAATTCTCTGTTGCACTTTCCTGTGTAAAGGTCTCTTCTCATCTTCCAATCCACACCTCTTCTCCCTACCTTTGCCCCCTCCTCCTCTCCACCTTCTTTGTCTCTATACAGATCCCAGGGAACAAGATGACCGCTGCCAACCTGGCGGTGATCTTCGGGCCCAACCTGCTGCAAAAGGAGCGAGGAGGTGATGTGAGTCCTCACGCGATGGGGATTGAAGACAGCACGGCCATCATCAATGTAACCCTGGTGCTCATACAGAACTACAAGAAGCTGTTCACGGTACAAAATGTTTCAGACATACAGTAGCAAGTAAAAGTATGTGAATGCTTTGGATTTAATTAGGGATTATTTGGTGCACTGTTCTTTTAGTTTTACCTAAAAGGTTTTACCTCGATTCGTTATTTTTTTCTTTTTTAGCCTTTAAACTGAATTTGAAACCAACTCTGATGTACCATCCACTCTGAGGGGGGGGAAAAGAAATGTTTTGTTTATAATTGACCTAATAAGTGTGTGTGTGTGTGATCCTCCAGGTATCTGCAGACCTGCAGCAGGAGGTCCTGATGAGTCTCATCCAGACTGATCCAGATGTCATTGACTATCTGCTACGTAGGAAACTCGGGTAACCATGACAACCACTCTGTCAACCCCATCCCAGAACCTTCAATTACAATTTAGCTAACCCAGTGTTGAGGCTAAAATGCACCTGTCTCCTCTGCAGCGGCAGTCACCTGACAGTGGAGAGCAGCAGTGAGCCGGGGGGTCGTCGGGATACAGGGACGTCTCTGAACTCTGTGGGTGCCTCAAGTGGGAGTCTATCCCCACTAGAGCCCCCTTCAACTCTCTTCCCAGCCGATGGTAGTGGCAGTGAGGGCAGCCTGACTAGTGAAGTGTTCCTCAGCATGCTCAAACTGAGCCAGAACCGCAAGCGACAGGAGACAGGATATGGTAGGGCGCCAGAGTAAAATGCCGCTTTTCAACCCCAAAGTTAGCACACAGATTGAATGTGTATGGGTTTTTTTTTTTTTTTGAAAAGCAAGGGGAAAAACAAACAGTACCAGCACTCATGTTTGAGCACTTTCCTGTGCTTCATCTGTCGCATCCCTCCAGGTGAGGCCCCTCCAGATAAATCCATTCACCGCACGCGTCTGTTCCACTCCCACCATAACCTGCTCAGCCTGGCCCAGCCCTCTACGTCTTCGTGCTCCGCCTCCAGGTTCCACGGTCAGGACCCTGACACGAAGGACCGCAGGGGCCCACTGTGTTCTGTGTTCTCTCTGGCCAGCAGTGGCAGCTGCTCCAGTCTGAGCGGGTTGAGCGATAGCAACATCTGGGTGAGACAGACGCCGCAGGAGGAGAGCAAGCCGTCACCTGCCGCTAACTTCTGGGACTTCTTCACTGGGAAAGGGTCAGGCTCTGAGACAGTGGTATGATACAGAGCCGGAACAAGAGGAGGAAAAGAGTGTTTGTGAATGTGTTTAACTTGATGTCAGAGGTCAGAAAAGTGTCCAGTTCCTGTTACAGTACATTTACAGAGACGTCTGATTTAACAATCAAAAGTTAAGTGTTCTTCTAGGACTAGAAACATTTGCAAAATTACAACTCTGCAGCATTTACATGCTTGTAGCATCGTCCTAAATTTTCTACTTGATTTTAGGGGAACATCCTGTTGCAGATTTTGGAAGTTGGAAATTCCCACTTTTTTGCACCTCTGGAATGCAGCTTGTGTATGAATGTGTAGGGACACAGAAAGCAACAGAGAAAAACAACAAATGAAGGAGAAGTCATAATTGTAAGATAATTTGGATTGATATCTGGACTGCGACAGACGTGAAGACAAAGAGACTACATAAATCTGAGATTATCTGGAAAGTGATGCAGTAATAATTGCTATGTATGTAATGTGTTCATGTATACATTATTTTACATACCATAGCCCTCTTCTTTACTACCTAGAACTGCCAAAGTGTAGCTAGCTGCATGAGCTCTGTTAACTCTTCACCTACAGTGATACCCTACCAGACTCCCTTTGGTTTTCACTATTTTTGAGTAACCTCCATTAAGCTACATTGACTTTAAATGTAATCTACAGTTCAGCTATCCCACATTTAACTAGAATAAATGCAAGATTTAAAAGCATCTATTGACATCATGGCAAAATGTACTATATGAGAGACATAAGTTGACTTGAATAGGTGTGTTATATGTAAGTATTTTAAGCATTTTAAGTACTTTAGAGAGACGGAGTAAAAAATCTTGAGTTTAGTGTGGAGTTTTGAGCAAAGATCCAGTCCTTTCAGGCATCTGGAACTCTTATTAAGTCCAGATTACAGGAATATCATCCACTGTGGGATGTCAGCTTTCAGGAGTATTACCGACCTTTCACAACATGGTGTACAAGACAATAGTGAGACCAGCTATGCTGTATGGGTTAGATTCTGTAGCAGTGAGGAAAAGACAAGAGGCAGAGATGGAGGTAGCAGAGATGAGGATGTTGAGGTTCTCTTTAGGAGTGACCAGGATGGACAGGATTAGGAATGAGCACATCAGAGGGACAGCTCAGGTCGGCTGTTTTGGGGACAAGGTCAGAGAGGCCAGATTGAGATGGTTTGGACATGTGCAGAGGAGGGATAGTGGTTATATTGGTAGAAGGATGTTGGAGATGGAGCTGCCAGGCAAGAGGTCAAGAGGAAGGCCAAAGAGGAGATATATGGATGTGCTAAAAGAGGACATGAAGTTAAGTGGGGTGAGAGTAGAGGATGCCGAGGATAGAGTTAGGTGGAAACAGAAGAAGAAGAAGACAGAAGAAGACGACCCACCTTTCACCACAAGAGGGCGACATTGACCACATCAGCTCACTTTACCATCTACAGTCAGTCTTAGGTTGGGTGGGGAATAGTGCCAAATTGTAGCTCTCCACCACAAACAAATTGTACAGAATCTGTCCATCACCTCTGTGGGTGAACGTGTCATCTTTCCTTACTCTTGTTTTTTTATCAGTGACACTTTGTGTTATAAAATCCATCAAGACCTAAACCAGAGAATGTACCACCTGTCTGCAGAGAATTAAATGTCAAACTGCCTTTGTGTGTGTTTTTATTGTTTGTTTTTTTTTGTTGTTGTTTTTTTATTGTTGGTTTTGCAAGTTTACAAGAGGGAGGGTCAGTTACTGCTATAAAAAACCTAAGGTTTCTGGGAGTTTTTGCTCAAACATTTGAGAGCAATAAGCTGAGTCAGAAGATGATCTCACAGAAAATCCACAGCCAAAGCTTTCTGCTCCTCATTTTAACTTGAGTCACTTCCCTTTAGGTGCTGTTTGGACTTTCACTGCTTGATTCAGTCAGACCTGCAGAAGACCAGATGATTTAAAAAGAAATCGCCTGCAGTACCATCTTTGACACACAGCAAAAATGCTAAATCTTTTAAAAATGTTTTAATATTTTCTCATGCTTTGCCTTTTAGCAGGAAAACGGAATTTTCAGGATTGGGGACTCATCTGCCAGTAAGTTAATATTGTTTTCTCTCTCTTTTTTAGTCTTTAAGCAGTGGTTCCCTTTTCTTTTTTTTTGCAAGTTTCAGCAAAGTTAAGGCTATAGACAGCAGCAACACAAGTTATGGCATTGCAATGGACATGAGTTGTGAGCACTTTAGTCTTTTTTTAAGCACAAAATTTACATTAAACACCTTCAACTGTTTACTCTAGTTGTTGACAGCTGCCCCCTAACGGCCGACTGACAGATAACACTTTAAACTGTACATTTGTGTCCAAAATCACCGTGAATTGTAAACTGTGATAGTTCAAAAACCGTACAAGATATCAAAGTTGCATACAAGGCAAATAGCTGAACTTGTTTAAAGGTTGAATGGTTTTTCTGGAGTTATTCAGCGGCAACATACATAAGGAAGAAATCAGAATAATAAAGAACAGGATAACAACAGTGTGGATGCTGACTCAGCATCCACACAAATATTATAAAAATTGCTACAAATCCTATAAATTTTGACTTATTAGTTTATCAAAATTAGTGTCTAACTGTCAGACAACATTGTAACATTACTAGACTGTCATAAAATCCCAACTTGAACTCTAAATATTGTGGCTTTTTCTTGAAATTATGACTAAAATGTTACAACTTTATTCTCAATATCTAGGATTACACATAACCCTGCAGAACAGTGGCATTAAGAAAAAAATCCAGCAGCTGTTTTAAGGCAAAATCTAACTCACATGCACTGATTTGTATTTCTTTATATATTCACATTTATGAAATAAAAAAAAATTGAATACTGCAGGAGACATAAAATATTAAATGTAGCCTGAGAAAAAGCAGGAAAGACAAAAGACGATTCACATCATCTCATCTTCAAAACCAGTTTGTTTTATTTCAAATAGTTTGGACACCGTCAGAACCAGCCGTCATTGCCAGACTACTGCATCTACACCTATTCATAACGGACAGACAGCAGCCCCACAAACACACACCACAGGAGAAGCATTCGGTTCCTGGTCTTTCATATGTTTGTAGCCATGATGATGAAACCTCAGGCTGTAAACTGATACAAAAACATATTCTTACTAAATTCAGCATCACAAATTTGCAAAGCCAGGTTTACTGAAGGAGATGTTCAGTTTTGTTAAGTGTCTGTGAGGCTGCTGTCGCTTTGCGCACTAGTTGCAACGTACACTATTTGAGTGTTAATGACATCAGTCTCTCACGCTGGATTCAAAACATTTACATTCTTGGTGAGTCTGAAAAAGGGGGAGTGGTGTGAACGACCGAAGCCCTGAAGGGACAATTCAAAGGATAGAAAAAGTGTTAAAGGGAAAAAACCTGTAATTGTCAGTTTTGTTTTGTACTGTAGCTTCATTTACTTAGCGGCAGACGTATACTATCAGCCTGTACCACCAGTCTGAAATCGGCTACTGCAACTTCAGCCATTTTATTGGAGAGACTCCATTAAGTTATCACAAAAATCCTGGTGTACCAAAACCCAGGTATTCTAATGCCACAGAAATGCTTTCCTAGGTTAACATGTTATGGACATTGAATTTTTTCCTTTAACACAGTGACACACAGTTTTTACCCAGTTACTTTCTGCACAGCAGTTTTCTTCAAAATAAGTGCATCTGAATGAAACCAGACAGTTTTTGTGTATTATAGTGTGATCAGTCAGATTAGGCTACATCATAGTTAATTTACTTGAGGCTGTTTGGCGTCCACAGCTGAAAAAAACCAGATGGGTGGTGGCACCAGGCATATTGATTTACTCCCAGCGTACTTTTTAGACATAACATCCCCTAAGATTTCTGATAATGGTGTGCTGATTATTTCAAACAAGCAATTATTTATATTTCAGAATCATCTGTATTTATGTACACATCTCTCTTCACATACTCCCAAAATTAAACCAAGATAAATCCTCAAATATCCAGAGCTGCCTACACAACAATTGTAGACTAGTAAAAAAAAAAAAAAAAAAAAAAAAAAAAAATCATCTAAAAAGAAGATGTTAACATAGAACATTCAGAATAATAATATTTAAATAAAGAGAGCCTTGTTTCAACATAGGGTTTCAAAGCTTTGTGTAGCTCAAAATTTCAACCATTCAAGCAACACATTACAATTTCAGGGACTAATGATTTCCACAGAACTGCACTTAATTTAAAGACTGAGTCATATTCAGGTCCAAATTGAATCTGTGGACTTTGATCTGATGTCTTTTGTGCTTCATTTACACTATGAACAAAAGCATTTTTAAAGCTTAAAATATAAACAACATTTGAAACATACAAAACAGTCCACAGATTCTGCTGGTGCCTGGATGTAACCAGAGTCTAAAGTCATTTGCAATGACAGACTGCCGAAAATTGTAGAACTGATGGAAACAAAGTGGATCAACAACCCCTTCCATTAGGATTAGTTGAGTTTAAGAGCAGCACAGACGGGGAAAGGAAATAGTGTTGACTTTAAAGCCTCGACTCGGTGAATATAGTTAAGTGTTCGGAATGCGTTGTTTGAAGTCACTTCCTCTGCTTCTGTGGTTTACGGTGTTGTGAAAACTGAGCTAAGCGAGATGTTGAAGAACCTGACCGTGCACTTCTATGATTCAAATAAACAAATTTTAAATGCTTAAAAAAATAGGACTGATCATGCGTTTGGATATGGCTGGGTTTAACACCGTTTTAACATTACCTAACCCAGATTCTGGACTGTTGTACTATGTTGCTCTGGATCACTATGAAACGTGAACATTTCAGGCACTAAGGGGTTTTTATAAAATTTGTCATGTGAAAAATGTTGAAAGGCAATATTCCTAGTGCCTTATACTGTAAATGGGGAGGCTAGATTCCTGAGCAAGAAAGTTCTCTTCTCTTAGTCAGTATAAACTGCAAAATCAGATTGGACCATGGGTTTCTATTTCGCTCACTGGCTGTAGTGCTGCCTGACACCAATGTGCTCACTACTGCCACCACTGGCTGAAAGCTATAGGTGCAGGGAAGTTCCAGGTACTTCCACTCCCAGGAGCTGAAGTCCAAGAACATTCCGTGGGATAAAATTCCCCTAGTGAATTGTGATTTGAACTTCCACAACAGGGCCAAAACCCTAGGAAGATTAAACAAACTAGCCCGCTGACGTAAAAGCACAACGGTCGGCAGCTGAATATTAAGAATGGTGTGGAGCAACATACATACTATGCCAGTTCTGCACCAAGGCTAGGTAATGCAAAAAACAAAAACAAAAAAAGAACTGTTAGCAAACACTGCCATATGCGCCCAGAAGGTGGATCAGGGATCCACCTGATCCTCTGTGCGTTAGGATATAGTATGTTGTGTAAAACCGATGCCAGAAGTACTTTTCTAGTCTTAGAAAGAAAACGAGTGGCTTCACAGTGTTGAGATGCGTCCAAATCCAATTTACATTTTACAGGTCAAGCAGAAACCATATTTTTATTTTCCTCTACATTTTGACAGTTGGATAATACCTGACCCGTTGCCCAGGCCACTCAACGACAGTAGAATATAAACACTTTAATGGCTACAGCGCGTTTCCATTCACTTTCCATCTGCTGCCGCCCTGGTACCAAGGAGTGAGCTAATTTGTTGATCGGAGACAGGCCAGTCAGGTGGCGCCTCGTGAGCTTTGCGGTGTGAAACGTGCTTGAAAAGACACCCAGATTCTTTGTGCGTTTGACCAAAAAAGGAGGTTACTACAGGTCAGTAGGCTTAAGTTAGGGTGAAAGAGTAAAGGCTTTAAAATGGCTCCTGTCTCTCCTCATCTCGGCACAAATAAACCTGTTTGAAAGCATGAATACCACCCTGTGCAAAACACTTCCTTGAGACAATAGAGCAGGAACTATTCATTTATAAAAAAAAAAAAAAAAATTCAACTCCAAGCGCTAATTGGTCGACTGACAGAAAATTATTCAGCTACTATTTTAATTGGATAATCATTTAACTCACTTATCCAGCAAGAAGGCCAGACATTATGGTTCCAGACAAAACAAGCCATGTCTAGGTGTTGAGGCAAATAAAATACAAAAATAGACAATGTATATGGGATGTCTTTGTAAAGCACGACATCTCCCTCAATGCTCACCATGCATAATAACCATATAGAATACTGATCCTTTTGCAGTCAGTTTGATAATTTAGTCTAATATCAGAAAATAAGGACAAATACCACTTGCAAGTTGAACAGTTAAAACACCCAAATAGGATGGGGTTTATGATAGAGGTATGCAGTAATCTTTCACAAATGTGATGCATTATTATTAGATACTTAATCTTACTTGAAACTACCGAATGATTAAACTTAGTTTTCTGTTAAATCGACCAAATTATTTTTGCTTTAGCGCTTATACCTGATGCAAAAACATTACCATTAAAATATATTATCAGCACGTCAGTAATTTAATGCCAGATTTTTAAGAAGAGAACCTCATTCTTAAAGCGGCTCCTATCAATTAGTGACATGACCCTTTATTTCCACTATCAGGATGAATCAACATTATATCACAATTTGTAACCTTTTAGATTGAGACACTGAGGAGGGGAAGCCATTTTAAACTGCTAAAACAGACTGAAACAAGAGATACTTCATTAAATATACCATGTTGTCAAGCAACAGTACAAGCTCCACATCAGCGAACTGTTGGCTCCCATTTAAAGATTCTGCAGAGAGAAGCATGTAAAAGGTCTGACTGGCTCCCAGAGGCACAGCTTATACTATAGGGTGCACTCAAACAGCTGCAGCAAGGTGTGTACAGAGGTGTTGGTCTGCTGTCCAAAAATAAAACTTTGATAAGGAACTAAAGGACAACATAGCATTCAGGCAGGTTTGATGTAGTGTGACAGTTTGGACGTCAAAGAAAAACTCTGTGTCCCTTTAAAATGATACAAAAGTGCATATTCTGCAATTTTACAAAAAAGTCAAATGTTAAAACAACACAAACTTTCTAAAGCAAATTTCAAACTGTTAAATCTGCCTGCTTCCAAAAAGTTGGCATATGATGTTGAAATACCTGACCACTCTCGTTCTCATGTCTTCGCAGAACATGACCCGCAATGGCAGGACGCTAATAACTTAAACTAAAACTTTCACCTGCCACTTTCACTGCTTAGCCAGCTAGCTTTGCAAAATCTGAACTAATAGGTGAATTGGAAGGAGCTTCCTTTTCAGTTTTTACAGCTTCCTGCCATTAAAAAACCCTGTTCTTTAGGTAAAGTCATTTTTACCAAGACTTTACATTTGTGTTCTTCTAAAAGTCACGTTTTCTGCAGTTTACAGTACGTCATGAACTGCTAATAGAACACAAATAATTAAATGGTTACACCACAAAATTTTACTTATTTTGAATATTGAAAAACAAAGAAATTTACTTATTTTAAGAAAAGTGACAATGAGCCCTAAAGATCTGTCAAAGTCGGATACGGTTTGTCGGCTGTGGCTGGGTTTCATTTCACGCTGCTATAACACTGTATATGTCATTAGCACCAGTTCATGATACAAACACTGCAAACTAGCAACTGCAACACCGCCCTGTGTTCGAAGTACATGTTCAAGCTATTTGATAGAAGGTAGTGTTGGTGGTTTTGTTTGGACAGAGACTTGTAACACTGCTGTCAGATTAACCTGTAGGTGAATACATGGTGCCTGTCTGTCAGCACTGGGCTAAGGAAAGCTTTATGTTCACTGTGGAAAGCCAAGTTAGTGCGGTATAATATGCACACACACACAAAAAAAAAAACTGTAAAGAAGACTGATGCTGCTGATGGTGACCATGACGACGACAATCGACATCCTCTGGTTGCTTAGGTCTCTTATCTGAACAAGCTGATTGGTCACACTGCATCATTTCGACAGTCCCAAACTGCTTTTATCTCTAAAACGGACCCACTGTGCATACGGTAATGTCAGCCTCATGGATTGGTGCTACTCGGTCTTCCCAGCTGATGCCACATTTTTTTTTTTTTTTTTTTGTTTGTTTGTTTTTAAAGGTGCTTTTTGCAATGTGGGCTCAGAGGATTTGAACGGCCATAATCCAGGAGGCTGGCATGTAACCTGCACATCTCAACTGATCTGAGCAACGCTCCAGTGCAAAGCTCCGCCTACAGGGAATAAAGCCTGCATACTTATGTAAGCGTATTGGGCTGAGCCGGTGGCAGCAATAAGCCCCTCCACCTCTGTTGAGTGACAGTCTGTTGGGGATTTACCGCCGGCTGGTTCAGTCTCTGGACTGGTAGAACAGGATGTATCCTGACTCAGAGTTCTTGGAAATGTCCGACGTCAGGCCGTAGAACTCCTCGATCGCCTGCGCGTCAATTTTCTGTAAGAAAGAAGCAGCCAGAAGCTGAAGTTAAGATATGCATGGTTCTCAATATCGCTCTATAAAACGACACTTTCTTGATAATGGAATGGTGTTTTCAGAGGAATAGTTAAACATTTTGGGAAATATGATTATTATTATTATTTTCACAGAGCTGGGAGGCAATTAGCTTAACATATACAAGACTTGGCCCGGGTAGCTGTTGATTTGGCATAGCAGTGCTATGTCTGAAAAGAGAGAGGATGGGGCTAAAAACAAATGGCAAAAATATCCTCTCTAGAACACTTGGGTCCTTTCGATTGCAGGTGGAAATACTCAAACAGTGGAGATAAACGGGCAGTAAGAGGCAAATATAACCTAGAAGAAAAAGAGTAAAAGCTAGAAATAGAAAGTGCTGAGGCAGATGGGGTAAGAACATCTCCACAAACCATAAAAAATAATGAGTTAGGGTTTCAGCTCTGCAAACTCAGTGGAATCTTCCACAGCTCTGCCAGTTTCTGTCCACTGGACCAGATGTTCGAGTGGGCCTCTTTCCCATCATAGTGGAAAACTAGACTGTCGGCGGGATCTGTTTTTACACATCAGTCTTTGATAACTGAGCAGTTTCCTCTGTATGCAAACAGAATACAGAGCAAAAACAGTTTGCTAGTGGAGTCTCAGCCCATTGAGACAGTAACGGGACCTGATCGCTGCCAGAGACAGTAGGAAAAACGCACAGACAAAACAAAATAGCATGCATTAGAAATGTTAAATTCATGTGATGTATAGTAAGGAGTTTACAGAGGATTGTGTCAGGAAGGGCAGCTGGCGTAAACACGTGCCAAATTTACACATGCGATTCGCTGTGGTGGCCCCTAACGGAAACAGCTGAAAGCTGTTGTAGTACAAAGTGAGTAACCTCATAATTTTCTAGAAACAACTGTAATTTGGTACAAGTAATAGGAAAGACAGAGACAACTCAGACCAATTAATCCCGGTTCATTAAAAGAAAAGGCTGGTCATTTTCTATATTAAGTGTTTTCAACACTCCCCCTACAGAGACTAAAACCAACAATCAATTACCTCGAGTCCTGATTAATGTCTGTTATTCCTGGATCAGCTTATTCGTCTGTGCCATGTTGTAGTACAAAGTGAGTAACCTCATAATTTTCTAGAAACAACTGTAATTTGGTACAATAGGAAAGACAGAGACAACTCAGACCAATTAATCCCGGTTCATTAAAAGAAAAGGCTGGTCATTTTCTATATTAAGTGTTTTCAACACTCCCCCTACAGAGACTAAAACCAACAATCAATTACCTCGAGTCCTGATTAATGTCTGTTATTCCTGGATCAGCTTATTCGTCTGTGCCATAGACCTCCACTGATGTTCAAAAGGGATTAAAAACATCAAGGAAACACACCACTGCACTGGGTGACATCAATTAATCCCGGTTCATTAAAAGAAAAGGCTGGTCATTTTCTATATTAAGTGTTTTCAACACTCCCCCTACAGAGACTAAAACCAACAATCAATTACCTCGAGTCCTGATTAATGTCTGTTATTCCTGGATCAGCTTATTCGTCTGTGCCATAGACCTCCACTGATGTTCAAAAGGGATTAAAAACATCAAGGAAACACACCACTGCACTGGGTGACATGTTTCTGCATAATGGAACATCAGACTCACATATTTGTTAAAACTGTTGCCTCAAAAAGGCTTTTGGAGCTTTTGAGGAAACATTTTTAGCAGTATGGATAAACATGTCACTAAGTGCAGCGGCGTGTTTCACTGATGTGTTTTTAATTGTTTTTGAACAACAGTGACAGTCTATGTCACAGACGAATAAACTAATCCAGGAATGATAGACATTAATCGGGAGTCGAGCCAATTCATTGTCGGTTTTAGTCTCTGTATGTGAAGTGTTGAAAACACTGTTAGGATAGAAAATGACCGGCCTTATTCTTTAACAGAGAGTTAACGCACGGTCACTTGAACAAGCAAACATGAAAAATGTATCTAAAGGAAACCAAAGTTTCAATCAATCAATAATAAAATATAATATATAATATTACAGCAGTGTCTCTATATTTTTGTCCTCCCCAGCTGCATACATGAAAGGGTCAGAATATTAGGAACACCTCTGAATATAATGTAGTCCAGTTCAACCCCACTTTTAACTGACTTCAATAATAAACATATAATTGAATTTATACATTCATGACACCACCAAAAACAAACAATTTGAGCTTCATAAACACAGATGTTAAGGCAGAAGTGTTGCACTGAATTGCATACAATTGTACAGGTGTACCTAATAAAGTGGCCAGTGAGTGTGTATAACAATGTATAGGACTGGAAAAAGTATCATGTAATTAAATTATGTAAAAGTAGAGACTCTTTGAAACACCGATTATATTTTTTTAAACACTTAAAAATACTGAACAATCGGAGAACTGCATTGAATTCACATGTATTTGCCATTTACTGAATGAGAGGGAGTTTTTCCAAGGATGCGGTTGTTGAGAGAAAAGTGAGAAAGTAAAAAGAAATTGTTCTTACCTCTACAATGTCGTCATCGAAGAGCAGCCAGAAGCCATGGCTCTTGACGATGGTGATGTAGTGTCCGCGGTTGGGGCCGCTGCAGTGCACAGAGGAGGAACACAAGGGGAGACGTGTAAGAAAAAAAAAAAATGCCCAAGAGGCCTCTTAATGCACGTCTGTCCACAGTTAGAATCATTATTCACTGAATTCATTTGAGTCTATTTTTGCAGCACTTTGGTTTGTTACACATCCAGAGCATTTCATGTAGATCGAAACACTAATGTTTCTGTGACACAAGACCTAAGATGTAGTTGTCTTAACTTACATGCCACAGTTCTTTTACAAAACTACATTTCTAGTGAAACAGTGTTTTGCTGATTTACATTTTTAATTCACACATTTACAACATAGTGTTTGCTTCCAGTGTTTCAGCAGGGCTGTGCAGCTGCAGGCTCAGTGCATAGTACTACTGGCCCTTTTTGTTTTTTGGGAGCTGTTGCACATTAGTTACACATTAGTTACACATGTAACTTTTGCAGCCAACATGGAGGTGACACTTTGTCATGTTAGAAACACTTTGAAGAAGGATTAACTGAGATACATTCAACATGTTAGCAACAGTAAAATAGTGTAGTGTAATGTCATTTCCTGTTGCGTGCTTTTGCAGTTTTTAATCATTACAACATCCAAAAGCAGCACAGACGTCCGGTGGTTTTCTACTCTATGAAGTGGCCAGAACTCCTCCTGCAGTGGTGGTGGGAGAGAAAACAATCTTGATGTATTTGAAACAATAGACTTAAATGTTATGACAAATACATCGGATGTGCATGGAGTGATAACGAGTTCTTAAAATAATGTGTTCTCATGCTTTCCCCATGTAAAAACGGGTTTAAAGACCAGCTTAGCAAGGAAAAGGGGGTGCTTGATTTGATGCACTGCCTCTCCCTGCTAAGGGCCCATGCTGACGCTGTACCCTGACAGTGAATCAAACCCCAAACTGCCACATCAAAGTCAGTGGTGTTTAACCACCGGCTGGATAGGCGCACACATCTTTGGCTCTCCGATTCTGAAACAATTAAACTATTTGGAGTTATGAGGGGTGCCAAGCTAATCTGAATGTACCCAAGATTAAACATTAAAAGGCTGGAAACAAGCAAAATGAGCATGCCATGGGCACTTGAAAATATCTAGTTAAAAAAACAGAACCTACCTGCCACAGTGCACGACGACAGCCACCAGATCGTACATGCGGTCAGGGTTGGTGGCGTCCCCAGATGTGTTGAAGAGGCGGAGCTCCAGGGGGAAGACGACCCGATACGACAGTTTGGTGTAGCGGTGCAGCTGGTCCATGTATTTAAAGCGCTTCAGGTGGAGGGCAAGGATCATCGGTAGCTTCTTTACCCTCATCCTGACAGAGATGGAGGGAGAGGATTTTTGTTTTTAATGGTACCACTGTTTTATTTCAGAAGCAGCGCTGAGTGATAAGCTGAATACTAGATCACAACTGAAACTAAAATTAACCCTGAACTGAGCTACACGGTCAACACACCGTGCACTAAAGGGAGCTCTAAGTCAAAAAGAAATTTTGAAAATCAAAGAAACTAAGAAGCAGGGCTTATCAGAGGTCAGTGGAAAACCTCCAGGAGGCAAGTAAAATCACACACAGTCAACAAAAACTCAAAGCTCTAAAAGCTTTCCATGTCGACACCACTACTGTTCCAGACCCCCTACTACGAACAAGGAGTATGTTTTAGTTGCTTTGTGCTCGTCCTAATTTGGCCAAACCTTTGGCTAGCGCTCTCACAGCATTCTGCTCAGTGTTAAAGCGAGGTGCAGTTGCTGATGACAGCACAGCCCTTTCAAGCTAATGGATGTTACTTGGTGCACTTAGCAGGCACTCAAAAACAGTGAATGGCATGTATAAAAATACACGTAGTCACAACTGTGAGCAGATGCACTGGACACAGGGTATTTCTTTTGTCTGATTCCAGTCTGAAAAGTTTTATTCATGTAAAACTGAGCACAAACAGCTCTGGCCAGTGGGTGGTGAGACTGCTGCCGTAGTTATTAACAGACATCTTGGCCCAGATCAACTTTAAAACACCCATGATGAACTTCTCAGAATGTAACAGGAAGGCCCTGACTATGGTTCCTATGGTAACAACAGATGTGGTTTTGGGGGTACTGCCTACTGAAACAAACTGTAACCCTATGTGTCCGCTTCAAGCGTGAGCGCAGTTAGAACCACTCCGACACAAATATGTAGAGACAAAGTGGTAACTTAGATGACAGATAGCAAAGATCAAGTATTTTCAAAATGGCCAAAAACCTGCTCACATTTCTGCAGCGTTAAGGTCAGGCGGTGGTAGGCCTTTACTGAGAAACGGGAAACTGTGACAGTCTCGCAGTTGTTAATTAAATTTGTTTTTTTTAACTGGTATGGTGTTTTGAAGTGTTCTGAGTGTGAACACAGAGCACAGCATGGGAACATTGGTTCTCATAATGATGTATTACAGTAGCTCAGCACCCACAGATTAATCGCACAGCACGAAATGCGCTCATTCAAGAATGTCTTCATGCATGTGTTATGAGGATGATGCAATTTCATAAACCTTTTAAACAACAGAAATACATGTTGGTGTATAAATCCTTACAATTATAAGGCCTGCAGCTAGAGCCTCGTGCTATCATATGCCTATTTTACTCAGTTTCTCACATAAATGGTAACAGCTTTTACATTTTGGAGAAAGACATCACTGTTCTTGGTATAAGAAGGAAGAAAGAAAAAATAGACACTAATTCTGCAGAGTGAGAAATAAAGCAGCAGCTGATGTCACCCACCTTTTTTGGGCTTCCTGTTTGCTGCGGCACTGCTCACAGTAGTACTTGTATTCACTACATAATGTCTCCGTGTTGCTGAAGCCCCTGTTAAGAACAAACAAACCTACACATTTAGCAACACAGTCCAACAAAATTTGGAAACAAACTCCACACTCTTCAGTAGTGATATAAAATTCATGTTTCCCCCCCCCCATGGCCTTTCATATCAAATGGCCATAAGAGGCTAATTTTTCAAGGCTGACCAGTAAGAACACTGTGTACCTGAGGCAGTGCGTGATGGAGGTGTTCTGCTCCACGTCCACCGACAGATCCAAGAAGTCCTCGTCTTTACTGCTCACCTGTAACACAGTGGAAGACGCTCAAAGTCACATGGATTCTTTTCTTCAGAGAACAAAAACTGGTTTTCAACACAGGATTATGAACTGATAAAATCAGACTAAGCCCAATAAAATAAGATCAAGGCGTTATTTACAATTGTATATTTGTTGTTCACACTGTGACTTGTTTCTTGGCCAACTGGAAGAGGGGGGAAATAATCACTTCATTTTTTCATAGAATTTAGTTCAACTCTGACAAATTTTGCAAGAGTTTGCATAAAAAAGGAAATTTTTCAGTCAGTTAGTTGTGTCACCCACGATAAGATGACACCCGGTTTCTGCAGACTACGCCTGCCATGAGTGGATGCAGACTACCAACACTTACTGCTTCACAGTTGAGGCAGCGCGTCTCATTGGTCAGTGTTCCCTGGAAGATCTCATGGACCCAGGTCTGTTGCGTCTCCTTTCCTCCTTCCCCTTCTCCTCCTCCCCCCTCACTTCCTCCTCCTCCTCCATTCTGCACCAGTTTTCCGTTCTGCTGTCGCTCTTGGCTCTTCTCCTCTTGGAGCAGGTCTGCGATGGTGTTGAGGAGGTAGTTAAGGAACTCGTGGGCATCCTGTTGCATGTAGTTGTCAAACAGCTCTAAGGGAGACAGAGGTAGAAACTTAACCAGTAATACAGAAACAGAATAAAGTAAAAATATATAGAGAAATGGAAAGAGGAATATAGACAAAGATGTATAAAAAGCCAGACAGAAGCAGACAGATGGGGAAGGAGGAGGGCTGAAAAAAAGAGAACAGAAAATAAATAACATCGCCATATGTTGGCAAGGAGAAATAAGAGCCAATTAAGACTGTCTTGTCTTTTTCCATGTGCTTTCCGCTCTGGGATCTGGCTGACAATTAGATTTCCTCAGCTGTGAGATCAACTTCTCAGCCAACTCCCACCCTCCCCTCCCCTCCCCTCCCTCTTCAGCTCAGCTGTGTCACTCTGCGGTGAAAGGAAGCCGCTTTAAACAAACAGCTGATGAAAGAACTTTTTTACATTTCTGAACGCCTGGTGTTGGATAGATGTTTTCCTGAGAAAAATGCAGGAAGTTGTGTCAGATTCAGACAGAAGCAACAGCTGCACATTCTGGCAGAGCTGTGAAGTCAAAATGCTCTACACCAATCATTTCGCATTATTACCATTTTCTTTTCTCAGCCGCGAAATGAATTTCTTAGGAGGGATGACGCCAACTTTCTTCTTCTGCGTGGCGATGCTGTTGAACAGGTCAGCCAGACAGGTGAGGAGGGACTCCTTACGACGCGGCTGCACCTGGAGAGGAGATGGGCACACTTGTCACTCTGTAAAGACTTTAACTCCGAGCGCAGCTGAGGTGACCAAACATCCAGTCAGGTTGAACCTCGACACTTGATCTCATCTATGGGAGTGATGTGACAAAACTAGAACACACACAGAATGTGACACTGGTGACATTTATGTTGATTAATCTGAGTGAAAATATTTTAACAGGTTCATTTATTTGTTCTCCTGAAGTGTGGTCAAAATTACTGCTAACTTCCCCGTCAAGAACAGTATTTGGACAAAGTAAGTATAAAGTTTATTTATATAGCACCTTTCTAGGTCAGTAGTCACTAGTTACATAAGGCTGTAGTAGATCTGATGTAAGCAGATGCCCGACCACGCAAGGCTCTGAATGCAGCAGATCTTGAAGTGAATTTGGAATTTGATGGGGAGCCAATGTAGAGGGGTCAAAACGAGTATAAAGTGATCCCATGTCAACAACCAGGCTAGTCCTGTTGGAAAACTTTTAGATTGTCTAGCCTATTCCCTTGTAAAGTGAAGCATGAAATACTTTAAATTCCACATTTCTGTGGCTTGTCCAACAATATTTACAAGTCTCATATACTGGAAGTGTTAAGACGTCATTGTCTGACAGTCAGCATGTTTCATACTCTTCAGCCAGTCTTTCGAGCTCCTAATCACAGTATGTACTGACACCAGGCTTCTTGGCAAAGTACTTGGATTGGGCAGGAAAACATGTCATAGGACCCTCTCAACTCAAATGCTCTCAAAGTTTCCTCCTGCATTTTTCTTTTCATGAAATCATCAGCAAGGAATTCACTGAACACACAGCCATTTCAGGCTCTGTGTTCCTCAGCTACTGAAAACGAGACTGAACTGGTAAAACTATACTTTATTACAACATGTTATTTTTTGTTGCTCTCAGTTATGATGCAGCACTAAATGATGTTTTAACAAAAAGAAGGTGATGCAGACATCACTTGTGGACTTCCTACTACCTTGTGTTTTTATTTTCCTACTCTGGCTTGGCACCCTGATGGATGAAAGAGCATATACAGCAGCACATAGGACTCAGCTTGGCACCCCGATGGATGCAAGAGCATATACAGCAGCACATAGGACTCCTATTTGCTGATTTAACACTATAAATGCCTGAGCAACAAACTGCAGCGGTCAGATGATCAGACAGCTGGTAAACAAAATATCAGGTTGGACAAAGTTTTTTGGAAAATGTCAAAAAGAAAGGTGAATGGAAGACCTGCCTGTAAACATCCACCAGACAGGTCTTGTGTTGGGGCCTGTTTCTACCTAAAACAGTATCGCCTGTAGTGTTGAGGCCTGTGGTAAGAGCTGGGGATTTATTCACACTAAGATTAGCTTGTGGTTAGGCATCGTAGAGTGATGTAGGGATGGCGTACTTTTGTAGGCCAACCTAGAAGTTAGTATCACCTTTGACAAAAGAGCAGTAATCAACCACAGTCTTAATGACAAATAAAACCTGAAACAGTAATACCATCAGAAATTTTCCCATGGTTTACTGTGAAACCAGTAACAGTTTCATCTCTACTCGGGCGCAGCACTAGCCCACCATACTTGCTCTAGTTCTGAGTGATTAACAAGATTTCAGGTTCAACATGCCTTCAGTTTTTAGCTCAAAAAGCAGTGGTTGGGATCAGTCTGGTCAAACTGTTGACTTGTTTGCCACTTGTATAACTGTCGGACTACTTGCTCTTGTTGCTTCTTTGGACCTAATTCTACAGATGCAGCCGTCTTCCCAGACCTCGGCATTTAATATTATGATGAGTGGCGGTTATCACAGCCAACAGAAACAATGGCTTAAGCTATGAAGACAAAAGCCAAGTTCCAATAAAGTTTATCCAAAGCTGACTGAGGCTGACTAAAAGACATGGACACCTTCACTAGCCTAGCAACGTTAAGGCTACAAACAACTCATGTAACAGGCTCATTATGTAACAAGCACCCACTTCATTCAATGACAACTGCTGTGTAGTCCTTACATATATTATGCAACACACTTTTTCAAACAAACATTCAGGTAAAATACTCCCTCATAGATGGACCAGTATGGTATTGTTGAGTATTTAAGTACATTGTTTTAGTGTGAGCAAGCAGCACACTGTATAAACCTGGGGAAAGGGATACTGCTGGCTGATACAGCTATAGCGTTTCTCTCATCATTTACCTTGTATGCCAACACCTTCTCCCTGAATGGTCGACAGAAATACAGAGCCTGCAGCACCGAGTTGCAGTAGCACGTGTTGCCAAACTACAAAAAAGAGAAAAGAAACACAGAAGTGAGTGGAGAGTGTATTCATGACATGTTTTGTTGTTTCTTTTAGCTCCTCTGGAATCTTCTACAATGTTGTTTTAATACCTGGTGTTCAGCTTAGCGTGACTGACTGACACTTACATTAACTAATCCGAAGTAGTGTTCATTAACAGGAAACTGTTCCGGTCCAATCTCCTTTTCCAAGGCAGAGGCATTGGCGCCCTAGAGAAGAAGACAACAAAAACACATATTCAAAAGCCTAAGATTGTGCATGGTGGTGGTTAAAAGTACTTAACAGTACATTTATCCATAAGAAATTCTCTTTTGTCTTCTTGTTTGCTGCTGGACTGTCAGCCATCTGTTTCTTACAGCTGCTTCCTGCTTCGCATCTCTGTTTTTACATTCCGGTTTTCTCTCATTACTTGTTTAAACCTGTTTAAATGTATTTTTTACATGACTCAAAAGGCACCTGCGTACTAAAAACCTCTGACTCTTGTACCACGTTTTATCAAAGTAGCTCAATCTTTTGCAGCTATAGTCAACAAAACATATATAAAAGTAAATTCTGCTATGGGATGATAAATTAAATAATTTTATTTCATACATGTAATGGTAAAAATATCTAAAAAAAAAAAACTTGCATCACCACATAATCTGTGTTCATCAGCCTTTTCACATCATTAGTTAGTTTCATAGTAACTTCTCGTTAACAGTTTGCATTTTACAGAGAAACAGAAAAAATGTGCAAATGTGCCAAAGTGATCCTCTAGATCTGAGTCAGGGAAAAACTCACCTATTTGTAATAGAACATCTAAATGATGCCCTCATACATTCTAGATTAGACATATGAGAGTTTCTGCAACAGGTTTCTGAATCATTCTCAGCTACATATACAGGATAGACCACAACAGTGGTTCTAGTCTACTATAAAGTTTAAGTGATCCAAACAGTTTTATGTTTTTGCTAAATTTGTGTATGGCTAAAATCTGGCCAAGATCAGAGTCCACTTTAAACAACTGAACATTAGTGTAGCAAGTTTTTTTTAAGTTAACATAAAACCTCTCTCTCCTGCGGGTCATGTTGTCTGAGATGCTGCAAATCTAATATTATGGTAGGGGAGGGAGGAAGGCGATGATGAAGATGATAATGATGATGCAGCTTTGACTACATAGATGGAGCCACGTCTGTGTTACTCATAATCACAGTGTAGTCCACGTAAAGTCAACTGGCGGCGAAGGCCTGGCTCAGGTTATTCATCTGATAAACACAGTGTCCAGCAGCGCAGCACTGTCAGCAAAGCGAGTGCACTTGAAAACAGCCAAACAGAGACTCATGCAAATATCTAGAGAAAGACTGATTCGCTATGCACTATAAAAAAATCACGCCTTAAATCTTTTATGTTTTCAGCAGTGACAGCTCTGAAATGACTCGGTTTCCTGAGCTGATGGAAATGAAAGCAAACTGACGTCTGCCAGTTGTGCAGGGCTGTTTGATAGCTTCAGTGAAAACCAGATTACAGAAAGCACAGTTAAGGTACTGCTCTGTTTTGTGGCTGCATACCGTTTACTAACCATGAATATCAGTCTGGAGGAGGGTTTTTCAGCTTTGAAGAAAAGCATTTACCATCTTACATCAGCATCCTGACTAGCTTACCTTCAACTGCCTGAGTGGGTATCGTCTAAGAGGTTTCAGTGCAGATTCTAAAATCAAGTACATTTAGCTTTGAATAAAATAAACATTTTCTTACAAATCTTTTTATTCATTCAACTAAATTCAATTGTCTAAAAGGCACCAGTGTTAAATGTGTAACGCGATCAAAAGCTACTAAACCAGTGTTTGAACAACTGGTTCCAAAGTCAGGCTGAATTTTTAATCTCAACTTTTAATACCAACAGAGATGACGTAGCCTTTAAGTGCTGTGAAAAATGAAAATCTACAATTCAATTACAACTTTATTTCAAACTCCATCAGCTGAGGAAGATCGTGTGAATCAAAAAGCTCCAGAACAGCTAAATGGCGTGATCGTTTTCTCAGCAAGATCAGGATTTAAATCTTGAAATATGTAATACAAGTAAGTACAAAAGAAAGAAATTGACCAAAATGTCAGGCATATTACATTTTTCTTTTTTTTTCTTTACTAAAACAGTGATAACTTACTTATAATATGTTTTTTTTTTTCAACCTTACAAATGAACAAACATCTCTACCACTTTGGTCCTCATGTTTGTTTACTCTGTCTCCTACATTTTATTTCTCTAAAACCACCAGTAGCCATCCCCAAAATGCTACCATATTACCAATACTGAGGTCAGCACTGCTCAGCTCTGCTTATTGCAGCCCTAACAGTGACTTACATGGTTTCGTCAGCCACATTGATTTTCGGAAAAAACAAACGCCTTCCAGGCAGCAGCTGGTGGGCTGCCAAAGTGGCAAACACACTGAACAAACCTGCCAACCACAGCTAATAGGTAGCCTTGTTTGTATTTGTCTATTGTTAAATGATGCTGCACTGCACACTTAATTATGTTACATGGCCTGGTGCGTGGTCATAAACGTCACACATGTGCCAGAAGCAGTGACTAAGTAAGAACTACTGCTTTTAGCATACACACACACGCACACTCACACACGCACCAGCAGAAGCAGCTACAGCCAACAAATTAAAAAGGCATCTGCCTAACCATCTGTCCACTCTGAAAGGTGCAGTGAGTAGAAACAGTGAGGAAACGGTAAAGATAAAACCTAATCTTCTGGCTTCAAGCTTCCTTGCCTGCCTTTGTGACTTAGCTACAACTGCAAAACAAAGACAGTGCTGTCACATTAAATGTGACCAGAACAAACAGAGCAGAGTTACAATGTCTGGTCTTTTAATTCCTGATATCTCTGTAACAACCTGCCAAACAGGTTGCAGTCCTTCAATTTCATTCTAACAAATGTTTACCCAGATGAAGCATCTCTGAGCAAGGCACTGTGAGCTGTTGTTCTGTAGCTGACCATGACCTCCCTGAATTTCTGTACAAGCATCAATAAAGTATCACGTTATCAAAACCTTCTAAAAACCCATTTAGGGGTAATTCTTTAAAAGCATTACATGTGAAGAGCTATAAACACAACAAGGGGCTTGCGCACTTAGCTCTGAGGCAACAGTGACTGTGAAGAGAGAATCATTTATATTGCTAGGAAGAAGTCTTACAGTAGCTGTGAAAGGTGTGCCTTTTATATATCCACACAAATACACTGTACTATATGTGTTTGTTGAAGCTAAAAGCATGCACTGCATATTTTGACAACCAAAACCTAAACATTAGCCAAGTGTGCTTTCCATAGGAAATATTCAGGGTGTATCCCATGACAGGAAACGCTCAATTTCTCCATCAGCTGCAGATTAAGAGACAGAGCTGTTTACATTCTCTGGTCATATGTTTGGTTATTCACTGCTGATTTTTTTTGTTTGTTTTGTGTTAATGGGTAATTGCCATTTCAAAAGTAGCTGTAATAATAATGATACTGATCCGAACTGTGATTTTCATGTGGAAGACCACTTGAGCAACCAACTTTGTCCAAGCACTCCTGTACAAGCCAGACTAACATTTGCTAGCATGCTAAGCTATCTAGGTTTCGCCCATTGGTCAACCCTGTCAGTTTCGCAGAAATGAGCTACAAGCAAACCAAAGCCGAATAATAAATTGTCACCCAAGCTTGGTTTTTGCATAAAAACACAATGTTATCCAACTGAACCTTAGTATCCGTGGAACTGCAGAGCCACTGTAAACAAGCTAAGCTGTACAACTTTCTGGAAACCCTGTGTGTTATTATCATTTTGCCCTGAGAGGTTAGCAAACAGGCTAACAGCGAAGCTACCGTGACGCCCTGGCTCACTAGTCCAGGCACCGGACAGAGCTTCAGCGCACAAACACAAACGATAGAACCTAATCTGAGCTCCTTACCATCGTACAAATCGAGGCGATCTTTCGGACTGTCATCAGTATTTCCATCCGTAAGCCGCCATGTTGGACCGAACCCCGATGTTGAAAATACGAGCGCCGATGCAGCGGCACAGTTCCGGCAGAACTGCCCTCTCTATTAGCGCTGTCAAGTCACGGAGGATGGCACGAGGAACTTCCGGTCTTTTTTATTTCAAAATAATAACTATTGACGTTCATCTGGGACTAAATTGCATGTTGATTTTTTTTCTATTACATATATAGTTGTCCTGTAAATCACATGTTGTGTGCGACCCTTTGCTTTAAAACAATCACTACTGAAAAGCTGGATTACAAACCAGGCAAAGCTGGTCCAGGGGCTCAAAAGGCAGATTTACGTCATATTACTTATGCATATAATTTAATTGTTTGCAGATATGTCCGGAATTTGCAATGCTGAATATCAACTATGATGGGTCCTTAATCCACTATCTTGTGGCTTTTCTTTTGTACAGGGATCTGAATTTCTTTAGTTTATATTGAGCTTAGTTGTTTTCATCTGGCAATAACAATTAATTGTTCAATGTATAAAATATCAGAAAATAGTGAAAACAGCATATTAAATATACAAATAGTTTTGCCCCAGCAGTTTGAACAAAAGCTTTGTGCTGCAACCTCAGCTAGCATTCAATTGTCCAATAGTGGTTTCCTTAGAAATTGTCTATTTGTACCCCCACCACCACCGCCACAAAAAGAAAATGGCTGAAAATAACGAATGATTTAAAAATACCAGTGGTGAAACATTAAGTATTTTTTAATGACAGGTGTGGGCTTCCATAGATCACTCTCTGAGGGATGGAAATTGGGGGCGACTGTGGGTCAGTGGGTAGAGCAGTCATCCCCCGGTCAGAGGTTCGAATCTCAGTGCCTGCAGTCCACTTGTCGAAGTGTCCTTGGGTAAGACACTGAACCCCCAAGTTGCCCCCGATGATTAGAGCCACTGGTTGAATTGGCGCCGCATGTGGCTGCGTCGGTTCTGTACCTGAAACAAATTCCTTGTGTGTAACATACTTGGCCAATAAAGGTGATTATCCTTATCAAATGAAACTCCAGTGAAAACGTAATGACCGTGCTGATATGGCCAGTTGGTGAGCTTTTTTTGGCACACATGAGCTTCATCTAGGCCATTTATTGCCAATTTGATTTGATTTGATTGATTTTGATTTGATTTATTTTTTCAAGCATATAAAACAAACATTTCTTTTGCAGCTTTATGATTATACACCTTAATTTTATAATTAGACCCGATGAGCTTAATGATATGGTTGTACAAACTGGAAAGAGGAGTCCAACTTAGACTGGTCTCATGGGAACATTAGAGGGGATGGTCCAAAGCTACATTCCTCCCTCTCTGTGTCTCTTTGCGCGCTGTCCGGAGTCAGAAGCATCTGGAATCAGTGAAGACCGGAATGCTTCATTTTTATGCTTTAAAACATGCAGCGATATACTGATACATGAACAAAAACAAATAGATCTCAACGTCGAAAGACGCACAAAGAGGGTAAAACTTTTCCGTAGCACTCAGTGGAGGAAAACTGAACTAGAGCTGGGATACTTGGAAAACGTTTGGGAAATCTAGAATCTCAGAGGAAAAAACGACCCCTTTTCAACAGTGGTTTTAGAATTTTAGGAATCTACCCCAGGAGATCCAGAATAACTGAGCGCACCACGCTCTCCCTGCAGGAACATTATGGCAACGTTGGAGTGATTTTCCATCCTCGGGGCGGAGGGGTTTGTTGCTGGGCAGTGTTTTTCCCCCAGATAAAGCAGGGCTGATCTGAGGGCAGAGGGGCGCTAAATGCGGCTGACTGGCGACCTTACACCGGGAACCATGAACAGCAGCGGGTCTGGCAACTTTCTGCTGGTCCCCATACCGGAGTGTCCCCTGCTGGACTGTGTGCCTAACAAGACGGTGAAGATTGTGGTGCTGGGAGCGAGCAACGTCGGGAAAACCGGTATGGACAGAAGGACGGAGGGATTATAGGCTGCCTTTTGCAATTTCTAATTAATTACGGAAGTTTTTCACAGGGGCTGAAACTGATGCTGTGATTTCATGCACTGCAACATGACGATAGCCACCGATTAAACTACTCAGCATACAACATGTTGTTGTTAGGACTATCTATGAAATGAATGTCAATAATAGAGGTAGAAATATAGCCTAGTGAAATAGTAAAAATGATGGAGCTAAATCACCCATAGTGGACGCCAGGGGGCGATAATTTACATTCTACACATTGACAATTTTAAATGTTGCTTACTCTTATAATTTTATTCAGTTTTATTAAGAATAACTAGTGGTGTAAAAAGTATTCAGAGCCTTTACTTAAGTCACAGTGGCTTAAAAGGCCCTCATGGGAATACTATTGTACAAGTATTGGAAAAGTATGTACTTTAGCAGCTTCAAGGTAATGAGTTACTTTTCACCACTAAATATGACAAGAGGACTGAGATTAAGATCTTATTTTGGAAAGAGGGAAAGTGGCCACCAGGCAGCAGCACAACAGTAAAGAGGCAAAGATAAATCATTAGTGTAAAATTAAAAAGCAAAGTAGTATAAATGTAAAAGTATAAATATGACACTCTACTTCTTTCAGTATTGACTTAAAAACATGATAAGCGGCTGTTTTAGAAAACATTGCTAAGCACTTGTGCATGAAAAAGGCATCAAAAAGTTGCCCTTGGGGCAGAAAGCATAACAGTGGCTGTTACTATTTTCTAAGATAGACTAAACACATCAGTGCTAGCATAATTTACTGCAAGTGGCTAATTTATTAGACAAATGATAAGTGAGGGATTTACAATTTCTAGCAAATCTCAGGGTGTTATTAAAATCTGTGTATAGCAACTGAGGACACATCTGCATGTAGCTATAAAGCATCACCATTGTACTGTAAGCTCAGAACTGAACAAGTTTTGTTCAGTTAGTAATACAAGTTGAGTGTACTCATCACCGTGAGTACTATTCTCCTGTTTATGAGAGAAAGTCAGTGTTGCAAACTGGAGGTGTGGAGTTAAAAAGACATAGGCATTTACCAGGCAGAGGTGGTCTAATGAAAGTCACCATGGTGCATTATGGGAAATGTAAGATTCACCACATCTTTTTATTTCAATTTTAAGATGAAACTACATTTGGTACAGCTCAAACAACTGTTATGCACAATACATTTTCCCTAAATAATCATCTATATTATACTGATTAGTTAGAGAAATGTGATCATGTTGCTGCTTCAGTCAAGTATTCCACTTGTTGTTACACACTTTAACTTAATTTTCTACATCTCTGATTGATAGTTTTCTTGTGTCTTTTCAGCTCTGATTGTTAGGTTTCTGACCAAGCGGTTCATAGGGGATTATGAAGCAAACACTGGTGAGTTTCCTTCCATCTTTCTGTAATAAAACAGGACACCTTTATTAAAGTAAGCAGCAAAAATAAATGCATTTACTGACTGATTTCACTTTGCAGAAGTCTGCTGCTCTAGAGAAAGCCCACCACTGATCCATTTTCTCATTCATCCATCCGTCTGTCTCTTTCATTCTGCCCAGGAGCTCTATACTCCAGAAAGGTTACACTGGAAGGGGAGGAAGTGTCTCTTCAGATCCAGGATACTCCCTGTGTCACTCTCCAGGTACTCATAAAAACAGCAGCCATATTTCCATCACAGAATTTTCGTGTTCAGTATGAATAATAAGCAGAACAAATAAATGCATAGAATAATATACTAGCACAGTAATACGACAAGCAGGCTTATATAAAGTCCAGGTGCCCAAACCCAGGCAGGGGTACATAGGGAGTGAAATTAGGGAATATGCAAAGGTCGGAAGTCAGAAGACAAGTAATCTGATGACAGAAACCCAGGGGAACAAACAAAAGTCAAAGTAAAAACTACAAGCAGGAGGTTGAAAATAAATAAAACACACACCTAACAGAGAGTCGGATGACAGAGGAGCTATGATGATCTGGCAAGGAGCAAGTGAAAAACAGTGAGTATATATAGGAGCAGGTGGGCAGGGCAGAGTCAGGTGACCGGGAACAGGGGGAAAGTCAGGAGACATCTAGTGGCTGGAGGGGAAATGACAGGAGAAGGACCAAGGCACACAGTGTGACTGTTAATACCAATGTCATGTCTTATTTTTTACCCCTATTCCTCGTTTTCAAGTGCTCCCTCATTTTTGAGTTGCCCCCAAAACAGAGTTACAAGTTGTAGTGGTTGAAATCTTTTCTTAACAAATGGAACAACCCTTCAAGATCTCTGCGTCATTAGTAGTTCATGATGATGGTTAAGTAAACAGACATGACAAGTTCATGTCAGAAATTCTGAATCATACAGTGCCATCTTCAGGTGTAGCGATTTCTCTTGCGTGGTCGATAAGCATGGGTTTGTGATTTTCAACAGCAAATTAAAAAAAATGCTAGGAAAGAAATTTTTTGAGACCAGGGAAGGTTGGCAGATTTGTTTAAGGTGTGTAGCATCTACTACAATTAACTTTTGTTGTAATTAGCCTCATACCACTCTATTTTGAGTCTGCCTCTGAAAACCGTCCTTTGAACGGCTGTGTAGCCCTACCCCTCCGTCCTAGGGAGAATCAGGACACCACTACTGCTACATGTGAACGCGTAAAAAGCAGGGCTAGGGCCAGTGTCGACAGTGTGAATACAACTGTTCAATTACCTCTTAAACTTATTTACAACTAAGCTAGATGGCTTGCTTACCCACACATGCTAACTAATTTGTAGATGGTGCCCTTGCACAAAATTTCAAACCTTCAAGATGGTTTTTCCATTTTGTGTTCATATTTTAAGTGATTGGTTGAGCCAAGCATAAGTTCTGCAGTTACAATGAACTTTAAAAATGCTGCATTTGCATCTTTAACTGGCAAGTTGAGTGAAAAGGCTCAAAAAGCAGAGGCATCAGTCCGACGCCATTGCTTCTTTATACCTCAAAGTTGAAACAGAAGCCCTCAAAGGCAATCAAAAATAAGTTACATTTTTATCTCAGAGCAATTTCAGGAATGAATCTAAAGTGAGAGGAAGTGACTTTAGAACCATCTCTTCAATCACATAATGAGTGCAACGTGCCACACTGCTTGAGCGATGTGGCACTTTGCACGTCGGTGTGTTTACAAAACCAGGTCTCAGAACTGTTAATTTCATTCACTGTGGAAGATAACGGAGGGTGAGAAAGTCCTTCCTGGCAGGATGGAGGATGATGGTGTCCGGCTTCAAGAGATTAGACAGATGTGACTGATGTGTGGAGGCAGGAAGAGTCGTGTGCAGAGCAGAGAGGTTGAAAAGTTATTTTATACACTTACTACATATGTTGGTCTGGTTTTGCAGGATGATGCTGAAGGCCTGTACTGCCAGGAGCAGATCAACAGGTCAGACTTAGGAAATGACTTAAATAAGAAATTGAGCTAAACATACTTAATACATATCCTGTAATAACTGCATAACAACTGGACTTCCAGGTCGATCTACTGGGCAGACGGTTATGTGCTGGTTTTTTCCATCACAGACAATGACAGCTACCGAACTATCCAACCTCTGTACCAACATGTTAGACGTATACACCCCTCTGGAAACATACCTGTTATCCTGGTCAGTACCCTGTCTCAAAAAATGACTGTCCAATTCATATCAACATTTTCTTATAGGAAGACAGTCTCAGTACCAGTCTCCCACTTTTATCTTGATCAGACAATAACAGTAACATACTAACCCTAATCCCTGTAATCCTGTCTATCCTGTTATCTGTAATCTGACGCAGGTTGGTAACAAGAGCGACCTGCTCCGAGCCCGACAAGTGCCAGCAGATGAAGGCGAGACATTAGCAGCTGCACTAGGTGGAGCATCCTCCTCTTCTTCTTTATACTCCTCCTTCTAATTATTTGTCTATTTCAGTACCACACACACACACAAACAGGGCTTCAATCTTTTGTGCAAGCAAGCACATTTCTTTAAATGTGCTCTTCAGTTTTGAGAAGCACATCATTTTGTACAGACCAATTCAACATATTAATGTTGATCCACTCACTCTGCCAACAGGGGGAGTTTACTTTGAGGCCTCGGCCAGAGAGAACCATGAGGGAGTCCATGCTGCCTTCCTGCATCTCTGTCAAGAGGTGGGACTTCTCTTTGTTATTTTGCCAGTGAAGCGTTAATACATATGATTTTAGCTATGTGTTTGGTTGTAGAACCCATGCTAGATTTTGCCTGACGAGTGAATTTTATAGAACGGTGACAGGATGCTATGGGTTGTTAATCCACCAAACTTCAGGGATTTTCACTTCCTGTGGGAACTCTGATTATGAGGCATTTCCCACTGGTGCTCAGAGTCCCCAACAACTATAAAAATATCATGTATTTATATTTTTGTCCAGAAAGAGGTACTATCTGTTCTGTGTATTTGTTTGTTCTGTTGGAATAATAGGACATTTTGCCCAGAGGCTCATTATATTTGGGTGTGATTAGACTGGTTCCTGTTTTGGTGAGTAAGAGGGAGATTCCAAAAGCTTGTGTTTAATGTTAGCAGTAATGTTTTATCCCAGCATTTTTGAACTGATAACATGCTTTAAATCTGCAGTAATCAGTATTTTTAATATTAACAAACTACTAAGTGAAGTGTGAAAGGAGTCTCTTGGAGTGAAAAATTCACTGAGAAGTGTCGCCCAGCTTTGCAGTCCTCCTCAATACTGTGTAGCAGCTCATGGTTTTAGTTTACTGGCCTGCTACCAAGCTGTCAATATGTTTTCAGCTGCTGCAGCCAGCTGTGTTTATTCAAAAAACTGTGATAAACTCAGCATACACCAGCTGCACAGCACCAGACATCAGGCCAACAAAGTTACCTGTTAGCATTTAGCAGCTAAAATGTCACATGTCGTAGTTTATAGAGATCAAAATTGAGCTAAGAGGAGTAGTTATTGTATTTACACTGAATGAATGCTATTAGGCTTCTCATAAATGAATACAGTGATAATATTCCAAATGGTGATATTCCATATATCTACAGTTTTTTCAAACAATTTAGCAATAAAATGGCATACACAATGACAAAGCACAATAATAGAATAATTTTTAAAAAGGAATTTCATCCCATATTAAAATGTATTTCCTTAGCAGCTTTCAAGATACAGTAGTTTGATTTCTCTAAATCGCTAAACATCATCGCTTGACCTGGCTTGACATTTAATAAAGTAAATGTGCACTGAAACTTGTCTCTCAAGATCTGAAAATGACTTGGGGTTCAACAAGTGGACCTGCTCACACATGAGATTTTATTTTGTTGAGTCAGTGTGTTCTCTGTCCTCCAGGTGATCAGAGCACTGGGAGGAGGAAACGGAGAGAAAAGAAGAGGTGGCCTTCACTTAGCCAGACCCAAATCTCCAAACATGCAGGAGCTGAAGAGGAGGTTCAGACAGGTCCTCTCCTCCAAAGTCAAGTCAGCCACCACACTCTGATCTTAGGGTGTGACCAAAGACAATGTGCAGCCAGATATGTGGCAAAGAGAAATGCTTTCATGGAAATAAAAAAGCTTCTAGTCCTTCTCTGATGGAAGGCCGAAGAAAAATGACAGGAGGAACTCAAGCCAATAATAGCATGACAAGGCACAGCTGAACTCCTTTGCAGTGGTCAAGGACTTTAAAAGAGAACAAGCAGTCGTCGTCAGATGGATGAAAAAGAAAGTTTAAATGGAGCTTTCTGGCAACTATGCTCTTTTCTGCATTTTGGATGAGACTCGCGGTCAACATGAGCCAACTTAAGCCTCTTCCCAGGCTTATGTACAACAAGGATGCTGCTCAAAATCAACATGACTTACTGCTACATAAACAGAAAGCTGACTGTCACTGTGGACTTTCTAATATTTTGGAACAATTCATGACAGTTTTCTTGAGGCTGAAAAAAATTAAATAAAATAAAATCACTCAAAAGTGAGTGGTTTAATGCATCATATTATTAAAGACTAAGAATTTCTAATGTCCTGTTACGTGTATAACATGTAGTTTATGTTGGTTTTTGTTGCCTTTGGAACTGAAGGGTGCTCGGAAAACCTCTCATTTTTTGTTTGGTTTAAGTTTGTTAGTCCCCGGAAGAGCAATGACATTTTTTAAGTTTGCTGATACCAAATAAAATAAAGTCAAGCCGACATCCTATCTGTTGATAAGTTTTGATAAAAAAAATAAGTAGTCCAAACTGAAACAGGAAAAGACCCCAAAATACAAATATTCAAAGCAAATGAGACAAATGTAGACACGTGACAGTCAGAACAGAAGCCTGTCCTAAGAAAACAGAGGGCTAATGCCTGGTATTTATGGATTTTAATGGCTTTTATTTTCTACTGACTGTCCGTAAGACTGAGATTTGCATTTTTATGTGCATGATCTATGACAAAATAAAAATTATGCAGTTAATTTTCACATTTGAAAATACATAATTACTGATGAAATAAAATTCTAAACTATACTGACAAGTATTTTTCAGTGTACTCTAGAGCATAATCTTACTGTAATGATAAGGATAAGTACAATCTATAATGAACTTATGAAATTAAGTTTGAAAGGAAAATTGCTAAATGAAGTGCTTCAGTTCAATCTGATTAATGTGGTTCAGCTAATTGCTAATGGAAGTTTAAAATTTACGACAGCAGTGTTATCTAATGCCATTATTTTTAAATCAGTGAACTATAAAATTATGAAAATTACCATAAAAATGGTTATTACAGATTTATTTCCAATCAAAATGAGGATATTTGTATTGCATTATCAAATGGAAAATGAAAATCTACTTTGATTGCAATTACAGACATCTATATTCAGTGGTTGTGTCATGTGTTTTAACTGTTATGAAACCCAGAGTCCATTATGCTTTTCTAAAGCTACAGAAGCTGTAATTCGGTTACTTTTACCTCCACATCCATCACCAAAATCACTATAATGTGCCTAGATGATAGGACGGCAAAACACTGTCCAATAAACAACATTTAAAATCTATGTCGCTCTAATTTATGAGGCAGAGTTTACTTGTAACTGTGCCAAAGTAAACTTTTCCACTACAGCTCAGCCCAAAAAATCAAATCAAATCAAATTTTATTTGTATAGCGCCAAATCACAACAAAAGTCATCTCAGGACTCTTTACAAAGTAAGGTCTAGACCTTACTGTTATCAATATTATTACATAGGGAAAACCCAACAAATCCCCCTTGAGCAAGCACTTGGCGACAGTGGGGAGGAAAAACTCCCTTTAACGGAAGAAACCTCCGACAGACCCCGGCTCTTGGTGGGCGGCCTTCTGCCTCGACCGGTTGGGGTGAGTGGATAGAGGAGAGACAAAAGAAGAAAAGCAACAAGACACAACAATCAAACACTGATCAGGTCGATGTGGCTGGTGACTGCTCGTCAGAGACGTAGAGCTCCAGGGCCAGGGCAACCTGCAGAAAGGTACAGGGAGAGAGAGAGGACACACTACAGGAGAGAGGAGACACAAAGTTAGTAATGTGTAATGGAGGCATATAGAAGCATAGGGAGAGAGAGGAGAGGAGAGCAG